CTACTGCCTCTGCCTGCTAGTCGGAACACTCTTTGGGCTTCTGCCTGAATCAGTGCTTACCTGAATGGCAATTCTTTTTCTTTTAATCTCACATAAATGCCGGTTGCCTCTCCTGTGGGAAGGCGTTTTATTTTCAGGTGAACACAGGCCACCTGGCCTATTCCTGCGATGAACGTCTTCCATGCTCGACCAACAGTAGAAGGACATTTCAGGAATCCAAGCCACCCTTATTTGTCCTGGAGTTGAGTGACCAGTCTCTTCGCTAGAACTTTCTCTTTCACCTAAGGATGTTAGGGCTTGTTGCAATAGTATGACTGCTGCTTCCAACCAGAACCTGGGGACATACAGTAATAAATTATTGTGTCTTCCCCTGTTTCTTCTTGCAGCCTCAATCGAGGGTTCTCCATAAACGTGGTGAGCCTTCCAAGCTACTCTCCTGCCAGTGGATATGAACATGACCTGCTCTTCCCAGAGAGACTAACTTGTGGCCCTGCCAGACGATCCCCTTGGAGCATTGACAGATTAACCAGATTAACTGCGGGGGAAGGCACCCATCCAGTCAAGCTGATGGGCTTTGGAAAATCTTAGCTTGCTGTGGATTTGAAAACGATGTGCATTACATGCAGTGCCCACTCGTTGCAAGTGGTCATCGGCAGACGATTAGCTGGAAAATTGCTTCCAGTTTTCATCACTGTGCATCACTCCGGCGCCCTTCGGGGAGCTGTCTGTGCCCCTCCCTGGACGTCCTGTTTCCGCATGGCAACCACTGGATTCTCTTACTATGTGTGCAGATGGCATGATGTGTTAGACAACAATTACAGCAGTTTTGCAATCTCGGTGGAGGTGTTTACCATAGTGTGCCCTGGTAGGAATGTCCACATGTCTCCATTATGTTAGTTATGACATCTGAAAGTATTCTGTCCAACTCTTACGCACTTTATAGGAGACACGAATCAGCACGTTCAGTACCTGTGAGAAAACAAGTATTTTCTTTTTTGTTTTTTTCTTTATAAATCTTGTCTTATTTCTGGCACAGACTGTCTGAGACAAAGTCCACTCCTAGCATATCCCCAGTTGTTTATGGTAGATCGGTGTAAATATGGCCACAATACTGTTAGACTTAACCTCTTGACACTTTCCTGAACAACTGGATCCCAAAGGGAAGTAGAAGTGGGCTGATTGTAATACCTTAGCTCCTGGTTCCTTGCACTGAGGCACAACGTAACCGCTTGCACATACAACCACTCAAACGCAGGAGGCTGCTCCTTGGCCAGCGAGCATGCTCTCGCAGTCTATAGAAGAGTTCTTTCAAATCAAAAACAGGGAATTGGCCTTCTTTTAATCGAAGACCATGCTGGGTTGGTGTTAAGGGCAGCAGAATGCAGTTTGCCAGTGGTCTGACTTTAAAACCATGGAAGACTTTCTAGGTCAAGTTCAAATCATGGCTCTCTGGGGAGAAAAACCAGCAAGTGACTCCTGAGTGCCTAGAGAAGGAAAAAGGTCCAATTGCACATGAGGTTTCCTCCTCAACAGAGAACCTGCTAGTCCCTGTTAATTCTTTCTGGGATTATACCCACAACTAGTTTTTTGTTTGTTTGTTTGTTTTACTGTCTTACAACAAAGCACAGACCTGGGGGAAAGGTCAATCCAGTTATTGCTTATCTTTAAGCATTAGAAAATTGCCCAATGAACTGACCCTACAGAATGTTTTAGCATTTTTCCCCCTGAAAATATAAATTTGGCTGAATCAAAAACTCAGCAAAGCATGTTCTGTGTGCCCATGGTCTCAACCTGGCACTGACAGGCATGGAATAATTTGCTATAAATACATGGGACAACTCTGGGACCCTTCCAGCACAAGCAAGCTGTGCCTTTTTGGGGGTCACCAGACACCCTCTCTCGCATTTTTCTTCCCTTGGGGTCTCAGGAAACCAGAGCCCACTGAAAAAAAGGGCTTACACTGAGATTTGGAAACCTGACAGGGAAGAGCAGAGAGGTTCAAAGGTGATTGGGGTGAATCACCCAATAGAGTGACACCCGTCAGGTTGTGGTGCCAAAGAAGGGGGCTTCCAAGAGGGAACTCAGAGAAGTTTCAATACCCCCAAGAGCTGACCCTCCAACATGTTAGCAATAGGACCATCAGGCCCCCCAGCAGACCACAGTTCTTTACAAACCCTGCTGCCAACTCCTCTGGACATAGCATGCTAATCTCCACTCACCTCCTCGGTTTCAATTGCAAGAGCAGGGTTTCCTCCTTTCATTCCACCCTTTATTCAGCAAGTATTTGCTGAGCACCTACTATGTGCCAAACATTGTGCTGGGGCAGCAACAGTGTACAAGGCAGAGCCTCTCCACCTTTTGAAAGAGCTCCTTCTCCTGAACACTGTCCCCACCCTGTCTTTTTCATAATGACAACAGCACTGGGACAGCATTCACCCCCTGCCAGAGGAAGTTGGGGAAATGCCTGGAAAAGGGGGCAGAGGAGGAAGGGGTGGTGGACGGCATTGAGCCACATATTGGCACCCTTCACGCATAGCCAACTCTCCCAGGGCCCGGATGTAGCTGGGAAGAGCTTCCTAGAGCAGCTCTCCATTGCTTTCTTTGATGTCTATCCTGGTCACCTATATTGCCATCCTTTACAGAGACAATAAAACCTCCTTTGCTGTATTCTCTGAAACTCCAATTCCATAATTAGTCCTGGGGACACAGAATTGGACCTGATGAATCCAAGAGAACTACTGCCAGATGCTGAGAGAGCGTAGCTGGGAATTGATTGGTTTAACCAGGACTTTCTGAGACCACCGCTAACACCCGTGGAAAGCCAGACACGCTTGATGGTGCAGATGTTCGTAAAATGACGATGGTTCATCTTCATCCTTACTCTGGCTTTTGTGAAATACATTCTGAGCAATTAAATAAGTTGAGTTTCCGAGCTTTTTTTTTTTTAGTTAAAAGAGTGCTGGAACATGGTGGTGGGTGAAGTTGGAGCTGGGAAAGACTAAGAAGAAGACAATGAAAGAGCCCAGTTGAAGATGGCTTCTCTAAAAATGCCTTAATTCCTGGCAAGTACCACATATTTGCAGATGAACTACAACTGCTTACCAAACTGTCCACCTCTGTGTGAAATCACTTCGGGGGATGCTTTTGAAAACATGGGAGCATCAAATCTGAGTTGTCACGAGCTAAGCCAACAAAATGGAGCCATGATGCCATTCCTGGGGCCCAAGATTCTTCGTTACGTGTTGATGCAGTTTCCCACAGTTCCTTTCTGCTGTGCTGTACCTTCTTTCTAAGATGCATATGGGGAATCCGACCTCCAGAAGGTCAGAAGTGGCTGGGGTGAGTTTTGTTTAGTAGGGAGCAGGAGACAGGGAGGTGTGGGATAAATACGTTGCTGTCCCAAAGCTCCAAGAATTGTAAACTGTTGACTTCTAACATTTCCTTAAACCTGTGCTACACCTTTTATGAAAAGGCTGACACCCACAGTGTAAGGAAAAGCACTCTTAGGAATGAACAGAAATAAATAATTACCAGACTCCCTTGGGTGCCATGGAGATTAGCTTTTTCCAACTTCAGAACTGAATTTAAATATGCAGAACATCCAGGTTCTGCTAGGGTGAAAAGCAATCACTTCGGTAGTTTATGACAGAACTAGTGGGGTAGAGACCCCAAGAGCTTTCTTTGTGGGTAACGATGCATCTTCTCATCTTCAAATCCTGCTCAAGCTCTGTGAGGTGTGTTACCACACACCTGATGCTACCTCCAAAATATGGGTAAACAGCACACAGGTCTCTGCAGAAACACTTTGAAGTTGCTCACACAAAGGCTCAGAGACCTTAGTTCTGAGGGAATTCTGCTATTTTTAACGTTCAAGGGGAAAAGGAATACATTCGTGAGAATATAAACTCAGGATAAACTCAGATGGATTTACCCCCTCATTACTTGTCAATGTGCTTTGTCTGCAAATGTCACCCAATGATTTTGGGTGGGAACACTAGAAGTCTCAAGGAAGAAAGATTTTTGAAACCCCCCAGTACTTTAGTTTCACCAAAACCTCCTCTTCCCAGAACATTAGTTGCTCCATTCTTCGTGGTGTTTTCCTCTACATTCTTTAGGGCAATTTTGTTACTTGACAACTAGACTTAAAGCTTCCATAGTCTCTTTTTGAACATCTAATCTTTGAAAATGACATATATTCCTTGATGCACTAAAGGCTGTTTTTATCCACCTTTCCCACAGTTCCCTCCACCCCACTTTTTTGCTTTGTTTTGTGATTTTGTTTTAATTTCTACTTTTGACAGTGTTCTGTGGGTAGATTTCAAGTATTCTATAAAGAACTCAAACAGAAAAACATAGTCATCCCTCTACCCCCACTCCCTGGCCCAGTACTGACTAGTAATTCCTTCTTAAGCTTGATCTTGGTGAAATCTTGCTGCCCAAACCCCAGTGGGACATATCTTCTCATCTTTGGGGGATGGCTGGTCATTGCTACTAATTAAAAAGAGGCCTCCCTGGCCAGTGTTGCTCGGTTGTTTGGGCATTATTCCATACACCAAGAGGTTTCCAGTTGGATTCCCCATCAGGGCACATGCCCCGATTTCGGACACAATCCCTGGTAGAAGATGTACAGGAAACAGTTGATCAATATTTCACTCCCACATTGATGTTTCTCTCTGTCTCCCTTTCCCTTCCTCTCTCACTAAAAAAAAAAAAAAAATCAATGAAGAAAAAAAGAGGCCATGAGATCATGGAAGAGGACAGACCAGAAGCTGCTTTGGCTTAGGGGACAGGTGTGTGTGTGTGTGTGTGTGTGTGGTGGAGGCGGCGGGGGGGAGGGAGAGGGGGACTCTATTTCAAAGACAAGCACTGCCCCTTAGTCTCCTTAGATCTGCATCTAACCCTGTAGCCAGAAAACTATCTTAGGAATTCTGCTTTATCAATGTGCATGATTTCTGGCACCACTGCTTAACTTCAAGATCAAAGAGAAGCACATTTCCATTATGTTGCTCTGGTGACTTACTCTAGTGGGGAGACAGGGAGCATGCTTTAGAAAGCTGACCACCTGTGGGAAGCCTAAAGAAAAGCTGGCCAAGTGCACAGGGAGGTTCTGCCACAGAAAGGGCAAACTAGATACTTCCTTGCAGATTCTCATTTGGGAAGGTGGCTAAAGGGATGGTCTCCTTGCTGGTTTTCTTCGGGCCTTCAGCTTGGCTCCGC